GGAAGGAAGGAAGGAAGGAAGGAAGGAAGGAAGGAAGGAAGGAAGGAAGGAAGGAGGGAAGCAAGGGAGGCATGCCACACTCAACACATGACATCATTACAGGCTCATCAAGTCTTAGCCTAACCTGCAAGTCACCAGTTCCTCGTAAAAGACCACAAACACATCAAAAACAACCTTTTTCTTTTACATTAAAAAATTTGACAGTATCAGAGTCATGTAATGTAAACCACTATGCCATTCTGTGAATCGCACTAACAACTGCTAGGACAGGAGTATTCAAAATGACCAACTGCATTCCCATAATTTGTCCTCACTAGTCTCACCTAAAATATTTAATCGCCTACATCTAAATACAGAATAGCATGCTTGCTTATATTGTTCAGAAGGGTAACTAGTCTTTCTACGGTGCTCAGCTGTTTAAAATTTGGACAATTTTTAAAAAATTCATAAACAAATAAATATATGAACAGTAGAACCGCACCCTGATCAATTCATAGTCATGAAGAAACAGAAAAACAACTTTTGTCAGGGACTTTTTTCTTTTTGAAATAAAAATCCTGATTGACTTTTCCAAGATAAACTGGTAGACTTGCAGGTGTACACAGCAGGCTCAGTAGTAGCAAAACACGAGGAGAACAAAGTGTCGTGGAGGGGGAGAGAGACTAGTGGTCTGGTAGTGGTCTGGTAGTGGACAGGGGTAGGGGGTAAGGGACAGGGTTAGGGTTTGGGAGTAGTGGACCAGGGTAGTGGAGAGGAAGGGGGTAGGGGGTAGAGCTGCGCCTATTCGACTTTACTATTCAACGTTCATGATTTTTGCACTATTCACAGCTATTCGAAGTGTGGCAGAGCCATTTGAATGCCGTGTGATTTTTAAAAAATAAATAAACAGAAAATGGATTTTCGTCTCATTTTTCTCAAACATAGTGAAATTGGAGCACATTATATCTAAAATCAAAGAGATAAATACAGAAATGTTCTTTACTTGATGGGTACGAGACGGAGTGATAAGAAGAAGCAACAAGAGTCATAAAAACATTCGGCATTCCTCTAAACAATATCCATTACTATTCAATATTCACTGGTCACACCATAGATAGCTCAAGCAAGAGCACTTGACTCTTGAAGCGCAGCAAAAGTTATCTTTTTCCATGAAATTTGCTGTCACTATGAGCTCGCCTTCGCCTTCCCCTATTCGAAATTGAGAGCACTATGAATAGTGACGTGATGTTATCGCATTGCACTGTCTGTGACAAAAACACATGCACGCTCAGTGACTGACGCTTTGAATAGTTAACGAATGTTGAAAAGTCGTAGTTAGAGAAGGACTAACTAATCATATAGAAGAAAAAACGATACAACAGCACTTCGAATAGTGGAAGTTGGGATTGGGCTTATCTGATCATACATATAGAAAAAAAACATTCAACGCGCTGTGCATAACAGAAGTTAGGGCTAGACTGATCGTATATAATTTTTTTTAAACATTCGACGGCGCTGCGAATAGCCGAATGTGCGGCTTGACTTATCTAAAAGAAGAAAAAGAACATTCGTCAGTGCTGCGGAGAGCCAAAGTTAGGGCTGAACTTATGATATATAAGAAAAAACTATTCGACGGCGCTGTGAATAGTTAGTGAAAGTTGAATAGTGGAAGTTAGGGTTGGGCTTACCATACACAAGAAAAAAATATTTGGCAGCGGTATTTGAATGGCATGAATAGTGAGCGCACACTTCCAAGCTTTGATGAAGATTTTTTTTCTCAAAATCGCACAGCACTAATAGGGGGAAGTGGACAGGGGTAGGGGGTAGTGGAAGGGTAGGGGGTAGGGGACAGGGGTAGGGGGTTGAGGTACTGGATGAGTAGGGAGTAGGGGTAGTGTACAAGGGTAGGGGTGGTGGACAGGGGTAGGGGGTTGAGGTGTAGAACAGGGGTGGGGAGTAGGGGCAGTGAACAGGAGTAGGGGTATGGGTAGTGGACAAGAGCAGGGGGTAAAGGGCAGTGGACGTGAGGGTAGTGGACAGGGGTAGGGGATGGTGGACAGGGGTAGTGGGTAGTGGACAGGGGTATGGGATGGTGAGCAGGGGTACAAAGGTAGTGGACAGGTTTGGGGAGGGGGGGGGAGGGCAGGAAGACAAAAGAGGAGACGAAACAAAGAGGAGGGGGAGGACGAAGAAGAGGTCACATGTCACTCCAAGGTGGGGAAGAGGAGAGGATGGTGGTAGGTTGGTGGGTGTGAGGTATGTTGAATGTGTCGTTTCCTCTACCTGCCCGACTCCTCTTCCCAGCATCCCCAGCGCCGCTGTCCGACCGCGAGTGTCCCAGCCCGTGCAGCTTCTCCGTCAAGCCGTGGAGCTTCTCCGCCAGCCCGCCGCCGATACTCCTGCTCCCTCCACCGCCGTCCGCTGAAGCCGAGGAGTTCGAACCTCCCCCCGGCCCGGTGAGCCCCACGGGCTTGGCCTCGGCAAAGTAGTGCAGCTCTGTGGACAGGGGGGCACAGACGGTCTGGGAGGCCACCACCGCCATGTCTTTGACGTGGAAATCCTTACCCGAGGACGCGGCCAGCGCCGCCGCAGCGCTGGACATGGCCGCCTTCTTCATGAAGGAGAGGAACAGGTGCTTGCACAGGTCCTCCGGGATCTCCGCCTCCAGGTACGTCTCCATGAACAGCTGGAAGCCTGCGTAGTCGATGGGCTGTTTGGGGGGGAGTTGTTTGGGGAAGGAGAAT